CTCTGAGCTCCACCGGACCACCACCTGAGGCCCAGACTTCCGCCAGACCACTACCTAAGACCCAAACTTCTACCAGACCACCACCTAAGGCCCAAACTTCCGCCAGACCACCGCCTAAGGTCTGGACTTCTACCAGACCACCACCTAAGGCCTGGACTTCTGCCGAACCAGCATTTGAGGCATGGAATTTTGTCTGACCACCACTTGAGGCTCGGAGTTTCGCCGGACCACCACCTGAGGCAAAAAGTTCTACGGGACCACCACTTGACACCCGGAGTTCTGCTGGACCATCACATGATGCCCGGAGTTCTACCAGACCATCACTTGACCCTCGAAGTTATGCTGGACCATCACCTGATGCCCTGTGTTTTATCGGGCCACCACTTGATGCCCAAATTTCTGCTGCACCATCACTTGATGCCCGGACTACCGCCAGACCACCATCTAATGCTGGACTTCTGTTGGACCACCGCCTGACGCTGAAGTTTTGTCAAGACATAGCCAGGCTAACAATTGATGCTAAAATTTTCAAGTAGCACTGGACTTCTGCCAGTCCGCCAAGTGACATTGGACTTTCATCCATGTTTGTCACTAGATTTCAACCATATACGGTTGAGATTTGTAATCTGATCGCCCTCAAGGACGAGTCAGCCCACTGTAATCTACTCGAATTCTAGTGGAATCATTTTCAATTGGGCCAGACCTTGTGATTTCTCCCCTTTTCAAGAGTTTTCATGTAAAAAATCTTGTGTTCTCTGTGTGAGTTAGATATCCGTACAACGCTAATACGTAACATTTTAACTCTATCACCGCGTATGCTCTAGCTCGCATCATCTTTCATCTACATTCTTCTTAAAATTGCCTAACATCAGAACTTCTAAATCATCCAATTAGATGTTTCCAACACATTTCTCCACGTAGCCCTTTCATGACAAAGCCTAATTGGCTCAACCACAAGACTTTATCTCACTTGTTCCATATATATCTCACACTCATCTTACAGTTTTTTAGTGTTATACTGACAATCAAAAGCTTAACGTTTCACTCAAATAATATTTTTTTTTTCCAAAAAATTATTTAGATCTCAACGTCTGAGCCATTAACTTTGAATTGTCTTATTAATCGTTAATGTTTTGCAATTGGACTTCCCAATTGATATCAAATTTACTTAACTTTCAGCGCTGTTGACCACTTCTGACGTCCATTTTATTGTATTCATTTTTTATTTAATAACTTTGAAGACAGTGATCAGCCATTAATGATATTGTTAACAGCATAGTTTATATCATAGAAAAATATTTATATGATTGCAATAATTTTTATTTTTTTCTTAAAAGGACAAAATACTCTTCCACATCTTGCTTTTGATGAAGACAAAATTCGCTGTTCTTATCGATTTTATATTAAAATTTTTTTAAAAAACGCAGCATAATGTTAATACAGTGAAATAATTTTTAATTGAGATAAATTTATATTTTATGCATTTTCGGCAAAGAGACATTTAATCTTTATGTTAAGCCATTAATGATATTGTGAATCGACTTGAATGAACTACAACTTAGAGCTTACTGAGTTTTAGGCTTCGTTTATGACGGTTATATTTTTAAAAGCAATTTTTTAATAAAATAAATAATTTTTTTGTACTTAAAAGCTACTTCAATAAGCAGTAAAAAAGCTATCCAAACGAAGCCTAAGTCAACCGGAACTTTGAGTCGTCTAGAGTTGAATTTAGTCAAATGATTTATAGGATACGTAGGTCATTTTGGTCTGTTGGATGAAAGATTTGGCTACCAGCCAAGGTCTTGGATTCGAAGCTTGCATATGTGATGCACGTATGAATTTGCCTTTAATTGACCTAAATGTCCAAAAAACGTCTAAGGAAATACTAAAATACTCCCTTATTAAGGATATTTTTGTCCTTGAATCAGTGAATGAGTGAGGTCGACTAAGTCATATCACATTTGATGATCTAAGTAATGATGAATGAATAGACCTAGTTTTGTGGCTGGCTACAATATTAATACTAATGACAATGATAGATGATTTGTCATTAATCATAAGATGATTGGATGATTTGAAGCTCATAATGACTATTAAATCATTAAAACATGAGATCATTGCTCAAATTATTATTATTGGATAAATTAAATGTTTTTAAATCATAATAAAAATTTATAATGCAATAAAAAAAGCTCTCATTAATATTATCTTCATAATTCATTAATATAATTCAAAATTAGTTTAAAAAATTTACTATTAAGGTTAACTCATTGGAACCCTGAGAAAATCTCTTTGAAGTACTAATCATCAATTTTATTTTAAAGAAATAAAATTATCTATTTTTAAAATAATGCTGACTTTATTTTAATAATAAAGAGAATTGCAAAATGGCATAGTGTTATTAAATTAAATATTATTAATATGTTGTGTATATGGATAATATAATACCCCATAGACTAAGTAATTGATTAGCTAATATATATAAATGGGCGTTGAAGCTTAAGGGGATATTTGACAAAGTATAAGGTTGGAAAAGCTGAGCTCTTAAGTAGTACTAAAACATATTCAAAGCCATTGAAAATTTCCTTTTGTCTATATCATTGGATTACAAGAAAATTAAAAAGCTCTCTCCTAATTTGAGGATATATATTTAAGAAAATGTATTATTTATTAAATAATTTATTTTTCATTTTTGAATAATATTGATTGAATGATTATATATAAATATCTATTAATTACATTGAAAATATTTCATCCTAATCCATATGATTTAGTTTGATAAAATTTGGATGATGTAGATGCAGAGATGATGAATCACGGAGAATGAAAAAGACTGAAACAAGCACAATAATGATATTTGAGTGGTTTTAATAAGGGCGTCATCAATATTTATGTTAGTGGAGGTATTTTATCACTATATGCTATGGCAATCTTATTCTTAAAGGATACCATTAGTTGTGACCTATGGATTTACATTGTGAATCTTAGTTGAATTATAATAAATATTTAATTAAGGATTATGAATATCTTCATCTTGTTGAAATTTCATTCTTTTACGTAATATGTTTTATGTGCTGTGAATAATAGGAATTTGTTCGCTATTCAGAGGGTACATAATTGAGAGATTCACATCAAGCTACTCATCATCTATAATAAGGGGAGGGTAAGGGTATTAAGAGTGCATGAAATATGGTCTTGTAGCAAAGACCAATGGTGCAAGGGAGCTACGAACCTTGGAGCTTCAAATGGTTTTTAGGAAGGCTAAGGGAGGGTTGGGAAAATTTGGAGACCTTGTCACATGGGCAATATTGGGACAAACCTCTTGAGGTCATGGTGATGCAAGACTGAAGAGAAAGTGATCAACATTGTGCCTTTGTAAAAGATCTTGGCAATTGATCCCATTATGTACAAAAGTCTCGATGAAGAGAAACTTTATGTCGAGAAAGATAACATATTAAGATCAAGTTTTATATGGTTCAACAGTGGCTTATATCCAAAATATATTGCACTAGAGAGAATGCAAAATTTACAAGTACATGGAAGCTCTACCTTGGCTAATGGATGTCACCAACATGAAAGGGCTAAGGGACAAAGAGAGAGAAATAAAGAGATGGTGGGATTATCTCTTTCATATTGTGTATAGGAGTATAGGTGTTCATATCTCAACAAGCCTAAGGACTTCTATTTTCAAACTTCAAACCTCTCTCATAATTGAGGAAATGATATATTTATAGGTCTTAGAAAGCTGAGATGGTGCTAACATAGCAACTAAGGTGGCATTCTTAGGTACAATTTTTAGCGATATGTAATATATTAAGTACATTTAAAATGTATCATTAAAAAAATTAATGTGTTTTAATTGAATCCAATTAACCAAATAATTCTCATATTTCTAAAAATAAATGCATTCTACTTACTCAATTTCTAAAATCCATAAATTTATGAAAAAAATTCAATCAAACAACCCTTAAAGCAACCAAATCCGAAGGATGAGTCATTTGCACCTACAAATTTGAGGATTTTTTTTTTTTAAATCTAAATCCAAAATCTTCTTTCACTTGTCACTCCTAAGAGAAATTATTCTGTGCAGTTACCGAATGTCATCTGGAGGTGAATCAGAACATGCCACGACACTTTTTTGTTGTGTACATGTGATATGTACTGTTGTGTATCGGGTGACGTGGCGCATCCTGATTCACCTCTGAACAGTCCAGTGACCTCATAGAATAATTCGCCCACTCCTAAACTCCCTTCTCGACTCCCTCTACGTCTATCGCTCCTCTCTCACTGTGATTCGAATGAGAACGATAGACCCCACTCCATTGCTCTCAACCATAGACCATAAAGATATACATCTTGTGAATAATTTTTTCTACTATTTAATGCGAAGTTAAAATGTTACTTTCTTTCTTAATATGTCATACTCCTCATTATATATATATATATATATATATATACTTGTTGGGCTATGCATGAATTATATAATTTCATTTCAACAATTGTCCTAAGTTCCTTTCTAATATTCATCTTGTCTTATATTATTATTATTATTATTTTATTTCACAGCCCTATGAACATGAACTCTTCAATAAAACATTTATTAAAAAGAACTGCAAACAATAATAATAATAATAATAATGAAAATCAGGCCTTGCATAGTAGCAGGTTTTAAATTTTAAACATATAAGGTTACTTAAATAAATATTTATATTGCATGGACTTTTATGTAAAATATTTTTAGGGGTATAATATTTCTCAAACATAAAAGGTCCAATAAAGTTTGAAAAAATTAAAGCATCCGTTAAAGACATGATTTGAACAACTACAATAACTGATGAGCACACTAATCTCTTTTTAAATACTTAGATTAAACATTAAACCACCTGATAATCCTCCTAATTACTTTCTTAATTAGAAACTATATTAGTTTTTAGAACTGAAGGTACAAACTAAAACTGTTTTCAGAAATGCTAGATGAGAGTTTTAAATTCCGTTCGATTTTAGTCGTCCGCGACGGCCGGCGGGGGCCGTGCAGACCACACGGAGGCGGAGACAAGGCGGCGAGACTTCCAACCCAATATGAGCTTATTCGGTGCTTCCTCCTCGACTCGATACCCCTCATTGAATAAACCAAGCAGAAGCTTCGCCTGCCACTGGTTGAAGAAACTAAGCGACACCTTTTGAAAGTCAGTCGCAGCCATCCACTCCGACCAACATTCCGTCACCTCGTCCTCCCGACGTCGAAACGCTTCTTCAACTGCTCCGGCTATCCTCGGCCCAAAAACTAGATTCTCTACCATTTCCCTCGCCTTACTCTGCTTCGGAAACCCCGCCTCCAACGCATCCCACAAAGTTGAATAGCGCTGCAATTCTTCCATAAACCCGACCAAAAACCCTCCTTTTCCGACAGCGGCGGTGGCCCGGCCTTCCTCCTCCACCACCGTCACCAGCCTCGCTCCGAACTCCGCTGCGCTGGCGAGGAACGAGCGAATGGAAGCAGGGGAGTGATGATGGTGATGCGGCGCGTGGAGCGCGCAATTGAAGACTATCGCTTCTCCTCTCAGTACCTTCAGTGCCGCGGGCCGGAAGCATCCGTCCCGATCAAGCCGGCATTGAGCGAAGGAAAACGGCAAACCGATCGATGCGGCAAAAGCTGCCAGCATCCGCCCCGTCTCCTGCACCGCTGTCGACGCCGACTTCCGCCCTGCTGTCACCGCCGTAATCTTCACATGCGATGGCGGAGGACCGTTTTTCATCGACATAAATGCCTGCAACAGCGGGGCCCACTGCGCTCCCTCCATTATATCAAAGTCCACGATGTGGACTCGCCGCTCGCCGCCGACAGCCTCGACGATAGCTTGGTTGGCAGTAAAGTGCCCGAAGTTGACGTACGGCGACATGTCCTGAAGCAGTTGGGACGCCGCCGTGATGGCGGTGGTTTCGATTCCAGAACAGTTGTCTTCTGCTTCGCCGTCGACGAGGAGACAGTTTAAGGCCTTGGCGAAATGCCCGGCGAGGCGCTCCATGCTGGAGCCTGAAGCAGGGGAAGGAAGTAACTCTTTGAGCCGAGCCAATATCACCTTTGAAAGGTCATGGCTTTTCTGATCGCCGGCGAGGGCTTCCGCCGCCGCCGTCAAGAGGTGGATTAATCTAATCCCCTTATCAGAGGAGAGCTGGAGAGGCTCCTCTGCCGGTGTGCCTTCCGCGCTTGAGAGAGTCATATCGCTTACATTGGACGACGACCAGTGATCGAGCATCTCCGGTGAACTTCTGGCAAGTGCATAATCATCAGAGTACTGCCATGCCATCGCCTCCTTTTCATCGTGGATGTCTTCTTCCGGCGAAATCGATAGCCATCCGATGGCCGGTGACCAGTTTAACCAACCAACGTTACTTGTTGCGGCGGCGTTATAGCCGGAGTAGTAGAGATCAGCCGCGTTCGCCATGGCGACATCCATAGCTCCTATTCAATCTTTCAGACTTAAGAACTAAGAAGCATATTTAGCTAGACTTCACACCCTTTATATAATCATAGCCTAGCTCGAAGCCTCGCTGTGGTCATCAGGTTATAATGTAAAACAAAAGAATGTTAAAAAAAGCCGGTATTTTGCGCATTAATGAAAATTTTATATATAAAAAATATTAAACAGGGGAGGTCGCCATCATAGAAGCGAATAGGAAGAAAGAAGAAGAACAGAAGAGCTTCAGGTTGGAAGGTTTCTTCTGAGGAACAAAGAGAACCAGGTAACTAAAAAAATGATACAAATGGCGAGATTTAATTTAGTAAAAAAAAGTTTTTTTATATTTTATTTGAAGAAAAATTCCTGCTTGCAATCTGTAGAAGATTTTATAGGCGGCCGGCAGTTAATTTCACATGCTAAATTAATTTTCTTAGGGAAGGAGTGAGGAGGAAGCGGCGACGTATTCTTCTGGAATTTCGATTCTCGATCGAGATTCCTAGAGAGAAGAAATTGGACGAATCTTTCTGTAGAAACGTTGATTTGATCAAGCAAAGTTTTTCTTTTTTTAATAATTTTTTTTAGAAATTGGCGGCGTCGGATCTTTCATGAATCATCTTCGTTCATTTTCTTCTTCAGAAAATGTATGGGTTCTCTTCGTTTATGGAATAGGCAGTAGGGTTACTTAAAACGGTCGCCAATTTATTATGAACAATTGAAATCGAATTCCTCAAGGCCGATTGTTTGGTGAAAGAATTTTTTTTAATGTATTTAAAATATTTTTTTTTTTTGAATTATGCTAAAATGAATGCAGTTATTTGTTTTTTTTATTTGAAGTAAAATAAATATAGTATAAAATATAATAATAGCGGTTGTTGGTGGTAAGCAACGGTGTACGATAGTGACGGCAAGCAACGACAATGGAGGGTGGCAGTGAAGAATAGTAGCGGTGGCGATGTTGATCGTCAATAAGGGGCAGAAAATGCCCGACGGTACGTGGCAATGATGGTGTTGAGCAGGATCTTGCGCGATAGTCGGAATTCTGGCATGGGTGAAGTTTTAGTAGAAAATTATGGGATGTAGGGTATAGCCCGTAGCCGGCTAGAGTTATTATAGATATTTTATAATACATTTAAAAATTGATATTATCTAATGATTTTCAAATATGTCAAAATTGAACTAAATGATGTATTCTAAATACTTCAAAATTTTATTTTGTATTTCTCTTACTTCAAATCAAAATAATAATAATATTTTTAAAACCTATTTCTAAAAACTTCAAAAGAATTTGGATTATCAATTGAATTATTTTTCTTCAGCTGTAGCTTATATAAATTATAAATTAGGGAGAAAAATGAAGACAATCAATATGATCTTTATTCCAAAGGAGAGTGAAACAACCTATAGATAGCTAATGATCGTGGATAAGATCATGGAGGCAAGATTTTGAAAATCGGACCGGATAACGAACTCGAAGATGGTGAGGTTCATAGAACCGAAGTTGAACTGGATAACATAATAAATACTAATTTCATATAAAATAATAATAATAATGCTATCATTCTAAATTATGTGATTTAAAATTAAACAGAACACAAAATTATGAATAAATATATCTACACAATTACTTTTTAAAATAAAAGAGATATAAAGTGTTTGAGTAACTGGCATCTTCTTAATGATATTAAATATATAACTTTTCATCAGTTGCTGAAATCTCTATCTCTAATGTTTGACATTTTGAAAATGAGATTAAGAATTTAAAATTAATATCAAGTAAATGAAATGAAATACAAATAAGAAAAATAACATAAGTTGAAGTTAATTTATGAGAAAATATTAAGAGCATACAATGAGAATACACATTCATAAAATAGAGATTACATACACAATAGTTCTCAACTCACGATTCATAATTTCATATCAATTCAAACGTCAAATATAAAAAATAAATAAATATTCAAAAAAAATCTTGAAATCATCTCCTAGTTTTGCCTCATCATTCAAAAGAAGTCAAGACTAATATTAAGTATGAATTTAGGATAATTTCAATGTTTTGATTATTTTCAATTATTGTATTTTAATTGTTATTTAAATTGCAAAGCTTATTGAGCATCATAGCTCACTAGTATCCTTCTTACTGGATGTTGTTACAGGTAAATGAAAGGAAAATATTAAGAGCATACAATGACAATGCACATTCAAGAAATAGAGATTACCTACACAATAGTTCTCAACTCCATAATCATAATTTCATATCAATTCAAACTTCAAACATAAAAAAATAAATAAATACACAAAAAAATCTAAAAGTCGTGTCCTAGATTTGCCACATCATTCATAAGAAATAAAGACTAATATTAAATATGACTTTAAGATAATTTCAATGTTTTGATTATTTTCAATGATTGTATTTTAACTATTATTTAAATTGTAAAGGTTCTTGAGTCTCATAGCTCACCAGTATCCTTCTTACTGGCTGGTGTTATAGATAAATGAAAGAAAAATGCCGTAGAAGACTAAATTGCAAGTATTTCAAATTTATATGCTAGTTTTTAAATTTGGTTGTTAGTCTATATTTAAGGTATGTAGGCAGTTTAGTAATATTTAGATTTGTATTAGTGGCTCTGTAAATATTTGGTTGCAATGATATTGGAATTTTAGAAGCTTCTGTTTAATTATGTATTAGAGGTAATGAACTGTTAAATGTTGTATGTATAAACAATTGAATGTTTTATATAAATATTTGGATCTGGTGGAAAATGTTATGTCTTTGTGGGTGACACTTTATAATACTATTAAGGGGTATTGTGGGGTGTTATAAAAAGTGGTATCAAGGTTGTGAGGATTTAAATACGGAAGATTTTTATTTTATTACACCAGTCACTCATAAGTGGGGTATTTCATCTGTAGTTACACAAGTCACTCCTAAGTGGGTCCTAAGGTTGGGTCACTTATGAATGATTCTTGGTGTCACAATGGTCATCTCATGGGTTCAAATTGGTTTATAATACCTAGAGCATTGAATTTGGATTTGGTTAAGTGTATCTTTCGTTTGGTCAATCAGATTTGACCAAGGGTTGGGATTAGATCCAATAAATTCAAAATGACATTTTGGGCATAATGGAGGTGGTCCCATGCCATGGTGATATCCCTTTGCATGAAATGTATGTTTGGGTCTTTAAGCGGCATTTTGGCCAACCAAGTTAAATCAGATCTTGGAATTTTGTTCAATACACTCCAAATGATATTTGAAATACAATGGGTGAGGTTTCATGGCTTAGTTTGATTAGGTCATGTTGAAGTTAATGAGAAGGTTAGACTTTTATTTAGGAATTTTGGGGTTTAGTGGGTCCATGGTCAACCAGTGTCCATCAAAAGTTCAATTTTATGTTTAACATGTCATGAGAGTGATCATGGGCAGATCAAGAGTTCTGGGGAGATTCCCAAGGTCAAATTTCACAAGGTGCATGATCCAGTTGTATGTGCTTTAAATATTTGAATGTTTTATAACCTTTGAAAATTAATTTAGTTTTGGATGTTAGAGAGCTCAGATTGCCCTCAAATTTGGAGGGTTAATCCTAGATATATGCCTAATAAATATATAACTGATGGATCATGAATCGGAGATCATTTGATTTGATTTTGAGATTATTAAAAAATTACTCAAAAAATGTTATAAGACAAGGGACTTTGGCCTTGACTTTGGGTTTAAAATTTTGTATTTTGTTTTATTTTTTTTTGCTTTATCAATCTCATATAAAAATGAGATCAACAATCATACATATTGGATCCAATGTGAATATCCATCAAACTTTCTTTTGTTTGCTTCATACTATGACTCTATGCTATATATTTTAATGTTCCCCAGCAATGGATTAAAACACAATTAATAGAAAATTAAGCAAGTTCATCATGCACTGAGGCTCATTTATTTTTTTTATTAGTAATGTGTGGCCTGGTGCTATTATTTTTCTATTAATAAAGCATTGCTATAGGCCTTTTGTAAGCTTAAGTTTTTTTTTTTTTTTTTTCTTTGAGACTTTTAAACTCTCAATGTAATTAAAAAAAATAGTTTTTATTTAAGGTTGTTGGTCAGCCATGTGTGTGCTTTTATTAAACAATTTAGATGATAGAGATATTGTTTCATGCTTTCAACAATTTTATTATTATTATTATTTTTATTTTTTTTTCATGCTTTCAACATGAAGAAACATATTTGGCATGCAATAATTAACGGACAATAATTTATCTGTTCTTATATCACAAGTAAGAAAATTTATAGAATTTATAAGTTGGCTAATTAATGGACAACTAGTTGTTTGTGCCCTCTATATATCATCCAAAGTTGTACAAGATAGGGGTGTCAAAATAAGTTAACGGGTCAAATTTGAATCCGACTTGAAATTGATTTGATCTGAATCTTATCAACCCGAACTTGATTCGTTTAATAAACGGCTCAAAAAGATGGATCCCAACTCAGACCTATCGGCCACTCGAACGACCCTAATCTGACCTAATAACCCATTTTGATTTTTTTTTTAAGTGTAAAATGTCAATTATAGAGTTTAGATTAATTCATCAAAAATAAGAAGAACATAGCAACAAGCAAAAGAATTTAAAGAAAAAAATAGGCTGGTTTCTATTTGGTTCGAAGGTCAAGCTGAGCCTGACCCGCTAATCAAAAGAGTCGGAATTTTAAACATAAGCCTGGCCCATTTATTAAACGAGTTAAATCGGATTCAAAATTTTTGGGCCAAATTTATATCAAATTATCGGATAGAGTCATTTACTGGCACCCCTAATAAAAAAAAGAAAAAGTCTCTTGCTATGCTTCTTCACACGGTTTATACTAATAACAATATTATAAAGTCATTGGTTTCTATGATTTGCTAGTATAATGGGATTAGATAAACAAGCTCATAATGTAATTTTACAAACTTCTTTCTTGAAATAAATTCAGCTTTATCTCGGTCTTGTTTGACTTGGAAAATTACAAA